AAAAAAAAAAAAGAATTTCTTAAATATAGAGAAAAACTATATAGTGGTTCATAGGACTGACGCACTGCCACCAAGTCGATGCTGATTCATAGCCACCTCGTAGGAGAGCGCAGAACGGGCCCTGTGGGTTTCCCAAGACTAACGCTTTACCCCAACTTCTCCCCACAGAGCAGCTGGAGGTTTCGAACTGCTACCCTTTCGGTTAGCAGCCCAGCTCATGACCACTGTGCCACCAGGGCTCCACACCAACCACCGACTCTTGTATGACCGGAACATGGTGCTAGCAGAACGAGCAGAAACTGGGTGTAGAAACACCCACCGGCCAGCTCCCGAGACTCACCAGCTCAGGAGTCGTGACAGCATCCAGCAAGCGCTGCAGAGGGAAGTTGGCGATGGGATGTGCAGCCAGAGCCTGCAGCTGCCCCTGGAAGTGATCCCCAAAGAGGTTCTGGAGCCTTGGGGGCTCCAACACCAGCAGCACCTGCTCCAGGAGTCTGGAGCTGGTCTGATCCCGCAGAAACAGCAGCAGTGGGCTGGAGACAAGAAAGAGATCAGCACTAGTCATCCCAGAGCTGCAAAGCAAGACGACGACATAGCCGCCTACACTAACAGCAAAGTTCAAAAACAAAGCAAAACAGAAAATGACAATGCTGGAAAGGGTACAGAGATTGGAAGCCTCATACAATGCTGGTGGGGCTGTAATTATGCGCAACCGGCTCTTCTTCAAACTGGGCATAGAAAATCCATACAACCCAGTAATCCCTCTGCTGGGCCTAAACCCTCAAGTAAGAGCCACAAGAGGAACAGACATACCCACACCCACGTTTATCGCAGCACTGTTCACAATACCATGATGGAAGCAACCTACAGGCCCATCAGTGGAAGAGTGAATAAAGATGCTTTGGCACATATGCACAACGGTTACTATGCATCACTAAGCCGGTGAAACCACAAAGCACTCAGGGCTTGGAGGGACCTGAAGAAGATCACGCTGAGTGAAATTAGTCAGTCCCCACAGGACCAGTACTGCATGAGACCACTGTTACAGAGAGGGGTGGGGGGGGGACATCAAAGGTCTTCATACCAAAGGAAAACAGCCTTTGAAGGTTACCAAGGGAGCAGACAGATAGTAATTTGGGTGAAGGGGAAGACAGTATTCCACAAGAGGGAGAAAAGAAATCAAAGCAGGAAGGGGAGGGTGGTACGCATGCTACTGGGAGAGATTGATAAATAGCTTAAATCACTGAACACAAAATTGATGATCTGAAATGTAAGCCCCCACCTAATTCACAATTTTTTTTAAAGTGTTTAAAAACAAAGCAAGAAATCAAGCAGTATCCACTCTACTCCATTCAAATGCAATCGCATCCTATCACCCACCCCTTTCACAGTCCAATCCACCTTGGCCCTCACCATACCTGCCATCTGCTGAGGCCTGGCGAGTACTCAGGTAGCCGATCACTGCACTGCAGAGATGGGCACAGAGCTGGGGCCATCTGTGACGTAAGACCTGTAAGGCCACTTGAAGGCAGAAGCTGGAGACTTTGTCGGTGATAAACACTGTGACAGAGGGTGGACACAATCAGAGTAGCCTCCTCAAACTCCAGACGGCTGGTACAGCTGGCACAACCTCTAACCTTAAGCACAACTTACGAGCGACTAGGGACACAAAAAGCCCTTTACAGAGTGCTCTGCAGTATCGAACAAGATCAGATGAGAAGACACACAAGCTGATCCAAGTCAGGGCCTTGTTTAAAGGTAACCGAAAAACCAAAGCCACTGACAGCGAGTTAATTCTGACCACAGCCACCCTGTCGGGAGGCAGAGTAGATCTGCCCCTGTGGGTTTCTGAGGCAAAAAATCTCTATGAGAGTTGAAAGCCTCCTCTTTCTCCAGCAGAGCAGCTGGTGCTTTCAAACTGCTAACCCTGTGGTTAGCGGCCCAATGTGCACCCCACTGCGCCATCGGCGCTAGAGCCCTCTCCTACTATCCTCCTTACCAGCAATGTCCTTCAGAAAGCAGGCGATCAAGTCCTGAAGGCAATTCGAGAAGGTTTCAGGGACCTCAAAATCAGTCGGCTTCCGTTCCCAAGCTGGGGCCCTTGGCGCATCTGAAGGCAGTGAGAGCATGCGCAGTGGTGAGACCACACTCACACAGGAGGGAGGTGATGGCCACACGGAGCACCCAAATGTCTCTTCTCATCTAAAACACTTCCACCGGCACCCCCTGGGCAAAAGGAGATGGTCCAAACGCCCCAACCCGGTATTCAGGCCGAAATCAGACCTCATCTCAAGTCTCTAACCTTATTTCCCTGAGGTTTTCAAAACAGAAGTCACAGCCTATGCATGTAACATATCATCGATTTTGTACATATCAGAGAGCATGTTGTTGTTTTTTGTTTTGTTTTGAGGTAGCATAAAGTTTAATGAAATAGGACAGAGTACAAAATCCAAAGAGAGGAAAGAAAATATCAGAATAGATGGCATGTAGTAATCTTGAGCTTGAATTCATTATGTGTAGATCTAGCCACGCTCCGCTATGTTTTCATATTGTTTGTTGTTCATACAGTAGACTGTGGTTTTTTTTAAAAGGCTGAAATCCATGGCTCTACATGAAACACACACACTTGCACACACCAGCCTCAGCATACACCTAAGTCCTGTCCTAATTTCTCTACTTCTTTAAGGTCAAGTTCCTCCAGGAAGGCTGCTCACATTCTCCTTCTGGACTTCCTCAGCTCTCCTTCCCTCTACATGCACTGCCCTCTCTTGGGATACTCACCAGATGACTGGGACCCACGGGCCCTGCTTCTCTCTGACTCCAGAAGGGTCCCTGCTAAGACCTGCAGCAGAGTTCTGACCACGAAGCTGCCGTGTGTGTCTCCACAGTAGAAAAGAAAGTCGCCCGACACCTCTGTGGCTAGTGCCAGGACCAGGTCCTCCAGGGTCTCAGGGGGACCATCCTCCCCGCCGTCGTCGTCGTCGTCGTCGTCCTGCTCCTCCTCCTCTCTCTGCGCCTCCTCCTCCTGCCTCCCCAATAGGCGGGGCAGCTGCAGCAAAGCACTTTGCATCACATGGACCCCACACCGATGGCAGGCCACAAAGCGCACGTTGGGGTGCAGAGCAGCCCATATTCGACAGAACGGTTTCAAGGGACTGAACCCCAACAGTTCTTGGAGCATTTCACTGCCAGTCCTGTTAGTGGCCAAGGCTAGGGCCTGACCCTTCACTTCCTTCAGTACATTCTGGACCATCAACTCTGGAAAGAAGTAGTTAAGGAAAACTGAGAGAAAAATCGGGTTATGCTCCATCACTCGACCAATGGGTGCGGAGTTGGGGGGTGCGGGGGCAGGGGCGAAGACGAGGCGATGGGCGAGAAAACTTGGTCCCCACGTTCTGGGGACCCCCACCAGGCTCCATGCCTGTCCCGGGATTTTGTCCGGATCGTAATTTCTCTGGGACCTACTCAACAATGCTACTTACCCCTCTCTTCCCCCGTCTCAGGAGCTTCTTTCAGCGCCGAGAGCGCGCGGCGGAAATACCCCAAAGCTTCGGGGCTCAGGTGAGGGTGCGCATCCACTGCCGGCTCCGGGCGCCGGTCCGGAGGCGGGCGGGGTTGTCGCTCGCGGCCTGGGGGGGCGGCACCCGACCCCGTGGCCCCGCGCCCTCGTTTGCCACCGGCTGGGCACCGGCGCCCGGGCCTGTGCGGGGAGCGCGGACCCAGCCCCATGGGCGCTCCGACCGGGCCGCTCCGAAAGCTGCCGCGGAAGGTCTCACGCCGCCCCGCTTGCTACCGACGCGCCGGCGTTCCCACGACGCCGCGTGACGCGTCATAGCTCCGCGACGCCGCCGGGCGAGCGCGTGGGCGTGTCCTCCTGGAAGCCCCGCCTCCTTGTACTAGTCCCGCCCCCCGGGCCTGGGGACTGAACTAACTCTGGCTCTAAACCGCAGCCGATTCAGTCCCGGCGCCACCGTTCTCCCGGAGCCCACCCTCCACGTCTCCAGAACCCTCGGAAGAGCGTTCTTCCTTCTACCCCACCTTTTTACCCTGCCTCCCTCACCTTCCACCGGGATCGAAGTCCTCGAGCTGCAGGTGTGCTGAGCTAGACGCCGCCGGCAGGGCCCAGAGGCTGCTCAGGTGCAGGTAAGCAGCGCGGGGCGCGAGCCCCCGCTCGGCTGAGAGACCCCCGGCCTCGAGTTCGTCCTGGACCAGGGAGCGGTCCCCCGGGCTCGGTGGGACTGAACCAGACCAGGAGCACAGCACCAGATAGTCCAGGACACTTCTGGGTGCTCCGAGAGGGGCTGCCGCCCCAGGAACCCCCGCCGCCCCTGAAGTCAGCCCCCTTCAGAGGGTCCCCATAGGGCTCCAGTCCAGGACAGCCCCACCTGACTCCACTCCCCACTCTCACACTCTCCCATCGAGCCTTGTCGGCTCGTAATGAGCCTACAGGACGGTTTAGAGCTGCCCCTGTGAGTTTTCAAGGCCAGAACACGCCCGCGGAATGGTGGGTGGTTTCGAACTGCTGGCCTTGTGAATCACAGCCCAACGTGTAACCATCGGGGCTCCTAGCTTTAACTCCCTCAAAATAAAAACTCAAAACTCATGGACATCGAGTCAATTCCGACTCATGGTGACCCTGTAGGACAGGGTGGAACTGCCCCTGCGGGTTTCCAAGACGAACTTTTTTTTTTTAATCATTTTTTGGGGGCAGGGGAGCGCTTACAAATCTTGTGACAGTCCATCCTTTGTTTAAGCACACTTGTACATATGTTGACGTCAACAATTCCCAAACGTTTTCTTTCTACTTGAGCCCTTAGTATCAGCTCCTCATTTTTCCCCTCCATCTGCCACCCTCCCACCCTCGTGAATTGATCCTTGATCAATGATATATTACTGTTGTTATTTCGTGTCTCACACTGTCCATCGTCTCCCTTCACCCACATCTCTACCCTTTGGGGAGGAGCTACATAGCCAACCTTGTGATGAGCTCCCCCTGTCTCCTCCTCCACGCCCACTGTCCCTACCATCCTCCTACCCTATGATATCACTACTCCCACTACTGTTCCTGAGGGCTTTATCTATCCTGAATTCCCTGGGTCAAGAGCTCTTATCTGTACCCATGTGGGTATTCCGGTCTAGCTGGATTTGTAAGGTAGAACTGGGTCATGGCCGTGCGGGGAGGAAGCATTCAGGACATCAGAGGAATGAGGGGAGACTGTAACTCTTTGCAGGAGTAGAAGGCTTCATCTTTAGCCTGGCTGGTGGTTTCTAACTGCCAACCTGACAGTCAGTACCCCCACGCTTAACCATTCCACCACCAGGGCTTCTTTCCTTCACTCCCTGGGCCTCCCCAAAGAGACGCCAAGCCCTGCCCAGGGACTCCCATTCAGTGGGCCCCTCTGATCTTTCTCCCCTCCTCTCATAGGATCCCAATCGTCTGTGTTCCCCGTCTTACCCCAACTGCCTCCATGCACTATTCTTCAGAGCAAATTTGTGTTCCCACAGTTGTTCCTCCTTTGCTTGAGTCATGGCAGCTCTCATGAAGGGTCAAGTGTGTGTGGTGACTGGTGCCTCTAGGGGTATTGGCCGAGGCATCGCGCTGCAGCTCTGCCAAGCTGGAGCCACGGTGTACATCACGGGCCGCCATCTGGACACACTCCAGGCCACAGCTCAGGAGGTGAGCACTTCTGGGACCCAAGGGCAGAAAGTACCTGGGTGGGCCTTTCGGGTTCACCATTCGTCTCCAGCTCTCCCTTAATCCCAGAGGGTTGAGCCACACAGGATACTCACTCAAAGTGAGCTGGGCAAGCACCGTAAGTAACCAGATCAGGTCAGATTTTGCCCCCAAGTGAGTTTCATAATAAAGAAAAAAAAAAACTTTTAGTTTGAGCCCTTCAGGAATGTTAGCGGGGGGAAAATGAGGACCTAATGCCGGGGTTTAAGTGGAGAGAAAATGTGTTGAGAATGATGAGGGCAATGAATGTACGAATGCGCTTTACACAATTGATGTGTGTATGGATTGTGATAAGAGTTGGATGAGCCCCTAATAAAATGATTAAAAAAAAAAAAAGGAATGTTAGCATTGCCTCTAAAGGACAGTGGCCATGTGTTTTGTTCCATGTTGGGCAAAACTTTGTGGAACCAGACATTTTCCTTTGCCAAGTCAGACTTCCCAACTCCATTTTGGGAAGTGATAAATATTTGGGTGCTGGGGGGAGCCCTGAGATTACAAAGATGACCGAAATACGATATTTGCTCTTAAACAATAAAATTCAAGAAGAAAAAATAAAATACATAAATAAATCCAAGAAGAAGGCAGAAGCAGGAGGGATTGTTTCCATAATGGGATGATGGAGCGTGCAAGGTGTGTATGGACTGGGGCGTGCAGAGGGGGAGCACCGGGATCCTCAGAGGAGTGGCCAGGAAGGGAGCGTGTCCTGGAGAAGGTGGTTTTGAACCGGGGACAGGCCATTTTGATGCATTTCTGTTTCTTCCATGAACATCACAGAAACCATTTCTACTTACCTCCTACCATTAAAGATGACTTTTATACGAGACAAATATTTATAGTCATTTTCTTCTAACCCTTCTAATCTCGAGATCCTGTGTGGCATGCCCGTATCTACGGATATGCATCAATTTGACTTGAACGTAAGTCAAGTATCAGTCCCAGTAAATCAGTTTCATTCATGAAAGCATTACTTCAGCAATGAATATAAACATCGTCAAAAGTTCTTAGAAAGTACACATCAAATGTAAAGACAAACCACGCGGTGGAGAGTGTCAGACTGACCAACCCAGGCGAGCCTCATGAGTACGGCGAACCCAGTATCTTAAACGTTGTGTAATGTTAAATGTCATACATTTTATAGAAGCATATAGTTTCACGTAGTTTCATTTCTAAGTTAGTAGTGTTTAAGTGTGTTGTTTTTTTAAATAAAATAAGTTGTCTAAAGAAAATGTGCGGTCCTGTTCACGCGTCATTTTGACACGTGTCTGTAGAGACAGGTCTATAGGAAATGTCCATAAACCTAGTGGGAAACTGAGTTGTAAAAGGAGCCCTGGTGGTGTAGTGGTTATGTGTTGGGCTGTGATACTCGAGGTCGGCAGTTTGAAGCCACCAGCCACTCTTCAGGCAAAAGATGAAGCGTTCTACTCCCATAAAGAATTACAGTCTTGGACACTCGCAGGGACAGTTCTTCTCTGTCCTATAGGGTCTCCAGGAATCAGTATTAACTCGCTGGCAGTGAGTTTGACTTTGGTTTGAGTTTGAGGGTTTTTTAATTTTGTTTTAAGTTTGTTGAGTCAGGTAAGAAAAGCTAGGGGAACCCCTCCATCAGAGGGCGCTACATAAGCAGAGAGACCGCAGTAGAAGATTCCGTAGGGCTGCTGGGAGGACTAATGCCCGAGTGTGTAAGCACCAGGCAGCCCACTCCAGGGAGCCGAGGTGGACAAGAGGCTGGGAAGCGAAGAGTGGGTGTGGGGAAACCATGGCGGGGAACCCTGAGCTTGTGCTTTAAGCAGTGGGGATTGTCTCGGTGAAAACACTAGACTGTCACTATGCCAGAACATAAAACAAAAATGTTATTAAGGGACTAAAACCATTTTGCAAAACTGGTGAAGATTTACACACAGTTGTGGGAGACTTTGCAATACTTCAGACGGCAGAGAGAACAGAACATGTTTTAAAAGTCCTGCAGGCCCTATGAGTTAGGCATCGGATGATCAAGCCTCCTGGCCACTCCTCAGGAGAGAGATGAGGCTGTCGGCTCCCTGAAAGATGTACGGTCTGGTCTCAGAGCCCCTAGACCGGGCCACTATGAGTTAAAAGTAACCCCATGGCAGTGGGTTTGTTTGTTTGTTTTTGTAAACAACTGATACAGGAGCTTTCACAAAAGTTACAAAGCGTCTGTTAAACTATAAATGTCAACATTTTCTGAACAGTTTAGCTAATTCATTACATTCTGAGGTCATCACGTGCTGAAGTTTTGGGCTGGGGCTAACTTTCTGTTATATTGGCAGTCTGCCTCTCTAACAAATTGAGTCTCCACCGCAGTTACAAATTTGCAAATGGCTAACAGAAAGAAACACAGCAGAAAATCCTAGAGAAGGAAAATCCGTTGTGGAGTCAGGATGTAAAGCGAGATTTAACAAGGACTGTAAAGTTACTTGCAGGTTCGAACTTCTGTGTATCGTGATCGGTTCTATTTCCGACCTCCTGCTGGCCAAGGCGCCTTCTCTGTATTTTTCCCAAGCAAATCTTTGTCCAGCTTAGAAATGGTGGCTTTTGCCTTCAGTGCTTCTCACCCATAGACTCTGCTTCAGAGAGTTCACGCTGGCTGCAAGGTGTAGAATTAATTTGAGAAGGAAAAGCTGGCAGTCAGGCGAGCAGTGTTGAGGCATCTCCGCAGTTCCCACGAGGAGGTCAGAGGGGTCTCCAGAGCGTGGCATAGCTCGGTGGTTCTTGAAAGGGTCACCCTTCCTCCTCTGACTTTGGGGAGTGATCTTAGGGCAGAATGAGACGTAGAAATAGCCCATGCCTAAGAGCCATGGTGTATTTATTGGTGTTCAAAAGGAGAACGGAACGGGATACACTAAGAGCGAGCTGTAACCTGAGAACAATGCGGCTCTGTGATGGGGCCTTGCTCGATACGGGCCCTCACGAAGAGATCACTGAAGATATGGGGCTGCAGGAGCGTGTGTGTCCAGCATTCAGAAAGAATGTCTGGGGTCTTAAAAGGTTGTCTGAAAGCAAACACCCATTTAAGAGAGGTGTCAGCTCAACCTGCACAGAAGAAACACAGCAGCCTGTAAGATCCAAGGATTGTAAATAAATGCCCCCCAAAAAATCCAAGGTCAGGGGAATTGTATTAGAGCTTAAATTCTGAGTACCCAGTTTCATAGTGGTTACACTTGGGGCTGAAATTTGTAAGGTCAACAGTTCGAAACCAGCAGCCACTCTGCAGGAGTGAGACGGGCCTTTCTGCTCACATAAACAGCTACAGTCTCAGAAAACCACAGGGGCAGTTCTACCTGGTCCTAGTATGTCGCTCAGAGTCAGCATCGACCCGATGGCAGTGCGTTGGGGGTATTTTTGTCTTGTTTGGGTTTGGGTTTGTTTGGCTTTAGGTGACAGTGAAAGCCCAAGTCCATTTGTAGCGTCCCCACGTGGACTAAGCCTCCATTGAATTCCCTCGGACCATTGACCCGGGACGGAGCAGCCTTGTCCTCAGACAGAGTGTATCAGAAAGTGACTGAATGCAGATATGATTCAGTTAAAATTGTTTCCCTGTTGGGCCCATTTTTGTTGTGTTCTAGTTTTTCATATTTTCTGCTTTCTTTGGGATTGAGGTTTCTCTTGAGTTTTATTTTGTTATTGTCAGATTTGTTTGTTTCATTATGATTATTTTCTTCAGATAAAATCCAGGCCAGGTAAATCTATCGAGAGAGTAACTGGATTCAAGTTTCTTAGGGTTCATGGCAGAGGAGGTTGGAGGGGACATGGGGAGCGAATAACAATACAAAAATGAAGGAACTGTTCTCAAATGGATTGTGGGGACGATGGGGCAGCTCTGTCACATATTCTAGCCATTGGCTTGTGTGTGGTGCACGCGGGCTCTGGTAAGAAGCCTGTCATGTGCAAAACCTTCCTGGAGACGAAGGAACGCTGGTGTCGGGAAGAAGACTGGTGAGTGACGCGGGATGAGAGCTGGAAGACCAGGAGGGGGGAAAGGCAGCCAGCTACCCGTTTCTCTAGAGAACACCCCAGACCGTATTCACTCCCCAGGTGCTCTGCCTTGCATCTAATAAGCCTGAGGAACTGTGTCTTCGTGTTCAGCCCACCTGGCTCTGGGCCCAGGGAGTGGGCCTCTCTGTCAGTCCTGCAACTCTTCCAACACACAGCAGCATGGCCTCAGTGGCTCCCTAGGAGGCCAGGCGGTCATTGTTCCCAAAGCCTCTTTAACTTGGGGAGTCGCATATTCCTGTGTGACGGTGAGCTTCTGTCCCCCTGCAGGCGCAGTCTCGAGGGGGCCGCTGTGTGCCAGTGGTGTGTGATTCGAGCCACGAGAGTGAAGTCCGCCGCCTGTTTGAGCAGGTGGACCAGGAGCAACATGGGCGTCTGGATGTGCTGGTCAACAATGCCTATGCCGGGGTCCAGGTGCCCTCTGAACTCTGACCCTGGCCCCACGCTTCTGCCCTCCCCCTCTGACTCCGGAATGCTCCTTCCCACCCCTCCCATCCAGTACCCAGCCCCTCATTCCTCCCCTGCCTTCAAATCATCACCTTCTTCCTTTGCCTCCTAGGCCATCTTCCACAACAAGGATCTTGCATTCTGGGAAAGCCCCGCTTCCATGTGGGATGACATCAACGATGTCGGGCTCAGGTGGGTGTCCCCTTGGCCCCGACAAGGGTGGGGCTCCCCTTGCTCATGGAGCCAGCCTGAGGGATGGGGCCTTTCTCTATAGGCCCTCGTCACCTTTGCCTGCTAGCCTCCCCGGCCCACTCCTAGTCTCCTCCTTCTATCTCGTTTGCCCCTTTTACCTCTGGAGAAGCTCCTTGCAGGGGCATCCCTGCCTGGGGGTGTCAACTTGGCCCTGTTGCGATGGATCCTTGTCATTAGAATAAGCCCTGGCTTCTCCCCTGCATGCTCCAAGCCCTCCTCCCTCGTGAGGCACACCACCCAGGCTTGGTGTTTTCAACCAGGGTTAGAGGAAGCAATGGTTTTGTTTTAGATCCAGAGAAGATGAATAAGAAAGAGTGAGGACTAGCCCTTCCCTTGGGCATCATCACTTGCAAGGCTCAGCAGTAGCTTTTCCCTTCCCTCAAGGGCGCCCAGCATTATCTGGTGCCCACTGTTTGTGGAAACTCTAATGAGCAAAGAGGGTCTCCAAGTTGTGTTCAATAATGATCTTTGTTAGTGGAGTCGTCGTGTGCCTTCGGTTCCTCGTTGGTTGTTTGGGGACCGACACTTGGACTATTCACTGCCTGTCTCTTCCCCCACTGAGTTAAAGCAGATCTCTGCAGAGGCAGAGCCCCTCGGCCTGTTTTGTAAAGCATTCCCCCAGTTGATTGATTTCTTGCATGCACGCTAGCCCCACATTTTCCACATCCTTGGATATAAATGTATGTGTATGTGTCTGTGTGTCAAAATGTTCATGGAAAATGCGATTGCAAGATAGTGGAATTTGCTAGAAACTCTTTGAAGCTGTGTATTTGTATGTATGTTCTACTTAAAAAAATTCAAACCTACCAATCTTTTCTGTTACAGTTTCTATCTTGGTGTTATGCTAAGAAAAGCCCTTCCTAACCCAATTTGTGAGCCCCTTCACCCAGGTTTTCCTGTGGAGCTTTCGATACTTTTGTGCCCTCATTTCTTTCATTCGCTTCCTTAATCCTGTTGGAATTCATTTTGAATAATAAACTGAGAGCTGAGGTTCCCCCCACCCCCACCCCCCATTGCCTGGGCGGTCCTTCTGAATCTATTTATTGACAGATCCATCTTTCCCGCTTGGTTTGAATTGCTCCCTGAATTCTCACATACACTTGCACGACGTGACTATTTGGTTGCATGGATTTGTCTGTTGCCGTGCCAGCACTGCGAAGGAGGTTACGTAGCGGCTCCGCACTGGGCTGTAGGGTCAGCAGTTTGACACCACCAGCCGCTCCGCAGGAGAAAGACAAGACTTTCTACTCCCCTGAAGAGCTACCGTCTCGGAAACACGCAGGGCCAGTTCTATCCTGTCCTATCGGTCACTAAGTGATAGTCAGTTTGGTGTGGGCGTACACCAGCACTGCATGCTTTAGCTCTCGTGTCGCTATTGCGCACACACACACACACACACACACACGCGCGCACACACACACACACACACACACCCCACACCCTCCAGACACTCCGCCTCCTCCGCTTATTCTTCTCCTTGAGCTTTGAGTTCTTCCATCAGTTCCTCCACAAATCAAGATGAATCAAGATGTCAATCGAAGACAGAGTTGAATGTGAGCATTGGCTTAATTGGAACGCATGTTTTACACGTTGGTCCTTCTAATCGTCAAAGTATGTCTACCCTTCGGTTCTGTGGGTCAGGATTTGATCATGTTTTACATGTACGTCCTATACACTTCTTAAGTCCCCTCCTCCTGAGATCCCATGTTTCTAATTGCTCCTGGTAGCTTTACTCCACTGCGTGTTCTAAAGACTGTCCTTTCTCACCTGTCGTTGGCCTCCAGCCCCTGGCCAGCCAGGTCTACCGCCGTCCCTGTGCCTATGACAGCCACTAGAGGGCAGTAGACACTGCCGAGGGACTACAGCGCCTGCCCAGCACTGCAATGCCCATTACTCTCCCCCTCTTCCAGAGGCCACTACTTGTGCTCGGTGTATGGGGCACGGCTGATGGTCCCAGCTGGGCGGGGACTCATCGTGGTCATCTCCTCCATCGGGGGGCTGCAGTACTTCTTCAATGTCCCCTATGGCGTGGGCAAAGCCGCGGTAAGGACCCAGAGCAGGTGGAGGGCAGTGAGATGTAGTCCCTGGTGGTTGGAATGCTAGGGCTGGCTTGTCCTCACCCCTCCCTCTGCCCCTCTGTGGGGCAACACCTCTGAGTGGGCTCCTCTTCACTGGCCAGACTAGCACCACCATGGGAAAGGGAGGCTGCCATCTCCCGGGAAAGGCAGGGCAAGAGGCTGGGTATCCCCAGGCGGAGCGGAAGATGGCATGGCTAGGCCCTGGTGCTCACCCTACCTCCATCCCTCCACAGTGTGACAGGCTGGCTGTTGACTGTGCCCAGGAACTGCGGCGCCACGGGGTC